TTGGTGACATGTAGGTATGGTTTGCTGTATAACTGTAATGGATATTGTAACTGAATATCTGTAACTGATCCTCTGTGTAACTAGCCATATCTGGCCTTCATATGCCTTCCAGTAATTTTGAGAAGCGGAAGTTGCTAGACATATTTAGGTGGCTAGGAGAAAACTATATAAGGCCAAAGAGGGTATTAGTTTCTCAGTGGTTATTACAGATCTGAATTAGAAGTATCGAGATTATTCATGAGAGTTTCTCCTTTTAGATGCGCTCTGCATTGTGCTGTCTTTAACATTCTTAATAGTTCGAAGTGTAATTGCTGATGGCACTCTGTGATACTGTGAAAAGCTGTACGATTATTTTTATGGAAAATTCCAGAACTGTCAAGTTTTTCTCTATCGCTGATTCTGTCCGCATTCACTCTCGTACAAACATGTACATGTGCAACAGTATTTGTAATTATTAACTTACAAACATTAAGGTGACTAGACGTCCCGATTTAGGCTGGTCAGTCCGAATTTCAGACTTCATGTCCCGAGGTCTCTCGCTTGTCCCGCCGGGACGCCTGTTTGTTCCTCTTTTCTGCAAAAGAGACTCTTAACGTCAATTAACTCCAATTGGGAGCCATGGCGCATTGGTGACGGCTCACTAAAGCTCTGCTTTTGATAAAGTTATGATGTCATCACTCAGAAATGCGGCCGTCGACAGCATTGGTGGCTAAGGCAAAGAAACAGCATGCGCGAAATATCTGTCGACAAAGCTCCCAGTCTGCATCGAAGTTCGAAGGTTACATTTACAAAGAGTCCAGAAAATTAATATTGTTTTAAATTACTTTTAACGTTATAGGAAACGAAAATATTTTTTTGTGCAAGTAAATTAATAAATGGATTAGTTATCGCTTTGTCAAAGAACGTTTCTTCTGAACACCGTAATACCGCTGCGGTGTTTGAAGCGGACATTCTGCACATAGAAGCACAGACTGTAACAGCATTGGAAGTATCTTCTGAACTGGATAATTTAATACATAATTGCACTGAGAGAAAACTCAAAAATCGTTTTGCCAAATGAAGTACATATGCTGATTACCCAATTAGAAGAGGAAAGATTGGCAAGAAAAAAAATGACATTATAAGAACCATTGTAAATTTTTATGACAACTGTGCTGGATATCTGAAAGAGAGGGTTGAGCAATTCGAAGATCGGAATGCATTTAGTTGGGTTGCGTTAAAGGAGCCACCCTCGTGGAAAAAGTAAAAGAGAGCATGCAACTTTTTGGGTGAAAGATTCCGAAGGTTGACAGTTACGAATTATTTCACGAAGTAAGCTACATTAGGTGATTTACTTCACCACAAAAGATTGTAGATTGGAATTGTAAGAAAACTGGTCTCGACTGTCGATGGGTTGAAATTTTTCGCCATTTCAAGGATAAAAATGTGCCATGTTCACAAATCCAGAAAACTGTGGATTTTTTGTTGTGTCTTCCAGAAACAAACCCCGCCAGTGAAAGAGTTTTCTCATCTGTGAATATCATATGGACAACTGAAAAGACACGGTTAAAACTGGAAACACTACAAACAATGTTAATGGTGAAGTGCAATTTTTTTTGACAGTTCCTGTGATAAAGTCCATGAAAGACTTCTACAAGAGCCAAAACTTCTTATAAGCATTCATTCGTCAATGAAATGCATCTATGGAGCACCTACCCAGGATGATCCTTCTAGGTCAGCGGCTGATCAGGAAGGCCTATCGTTGGCGTCGAATTAATACATTTGCGGCGTCATGTGCTAGATGGACACATTCAGGTCAGGTCGTAACATTGAACTTCAAGTATCGTACTAATGAAAGTACATTACTTGACCAGATCTAATCCATTTAAGGCTAGTAACGTATATAGGAAGTTACAAACTTTTTTTTTCCGACTTTTTTTTTTTTTCGTTCACTCTTACTCTTACTGAAAGCTCGTCTGAGTTGTCTCAGTCCAGATCCCAAAGTCTGTGATTGATCATTTAATAATTAATTCAGTCTGAGATATGGATAAATTCTATTTTTTCTTTCAATGATAGAGTCTATTTAACACAAACGCTAATTCGCAAATGATAGGTAATTCTTTACAGGACAATGTGACTTCACTAAAAATTTTGCACTCCATATTTTCACCTTCAGAGACTCCCACGCTTTTCCCAGCACCCAAATTTGCATCCCTGCATTCCGCTTTGCTCTCTGGAATATCCAGTCACCTTACAAACATGTTAAATGTGTATTTCAATATTTCTGTTTTTTTATATAAGTGTTTTAACCTTTATTGAAGCAATTTTAAAAGGCATAGTAAAGGAAACAACGAATAACACAAAGAAAATAATATTACCAAATTTTATCTTCGTATTTTACTTTCATTTCTGACATACACATACATTAAAAGGAATATTAAAATACAGTCAAAAGTCTTTAATCCGGACTCGTCTGGATTTCGGCGATTCCGGATTATCGATTTTTCCGGATTATAGATCATCAGTTTAAATCTGGTAAGATGGCATGCAGAAATTATAAAATTAAAAATATGAAACCGTAATTTATAAAATAATGAGCAATTATGATCTAAAGGGTATCAAAATTTACCAAAAGAGAAGCCTAATATTTATTTGTTTACTTTATTAAACATTTCTTTTAACGTGCAGATGCGTAAAGCATACCTTACGCATAGCCGAAATTAGAAAATTGCAACCAGAAAACTATTTGATTTGTATTTGTGATATTTATAATGACGAGGAATTTGATTTAAATCATATCAAAGACGAAGTACATCGAAATTAAATACTACATTTAGTAAGAAATTATAAGCCGAATAAAATAAAAACATCTGCCCTGAAGATAATGATAGTGTTGACAAATCAACTTCCAGTTCATTGCGCGCCGCGACGTCCCGCCCCCGCGCAGAGCAGCGTGAAATTGATAAACAGATTTCGGAACGGTTAGATAAACAAAGAATATGCCTTTATCCATTTTTTGTAGCAATTCGTTTTTTGTTTGATGGAGATCGAAACATACTTTCGTTTTCTAGATCCTTTGGGAGCTCCAGCATCGGAAATTCTATTTGACATAATCGAAAGTTCAAACTTACTTTAGAAAATTGCTCTTGCAGTCTGCAAAAAATAATAAGCCGGATCCAATTCGAAGATTAAGGAACAACGCAATCATCAACATTAACTGAAATAGATAATTAAATAATTTTAGCTTATACCGTCCGTTATACGTTAAACGCGAAAACGTATTCTGCATTTGCGCAGACGCATATGCGCAGTCGTAAATGTCTTGGGCGCACAAGTAAAACACCTATGCTCATGCGTCAATGCGGCGCATGCGCAGAAAGATTTTAGCTTTGAGGTCCGGATTATGGGTGTCCGAATTAACGACTTTTGACTGTACTTTTGAAATCTATCTTACTTTGGTTTCATAATAATACACGAAAAAATCTATATTTTTATTATATATAACTACATAATTAAAGATATTGAATTAAACATATGAAAGTTGTATGTGTTCCATTTCTCTTAATCATAAAACTAAATTGCAAATAAACTTGGGAAAGAAAAAAGAGCAAACATTTTCCGCCCTATCATTTTGGTTCAGAAATTACTATATTCCTAACTTCTAATTTTGTTGGCTGTAAACTTTATCATCTGATATTTCTTTCATATAATGAACTTCTGCAGTCTTCTCAAAGCACTTGCAGACATTCACATTCAAAGATATTATTCAGCAATGTAACTGCTATGTGCAAAAGTACATTGCCCTTGTAACTTTCCCCTTTTCTGAAAAACACTTGGTCACCCACCCTAAAAGAAGGGACAGAGGACCCTCTTCTCGCCTCAGCTGGCAGAGGGGAGTGGACTTCCCCCCCCCTGGTTACAGGTGGGAGAAAAGAAGAGATTGAGATGTGAAACAGAAAAGAGCGGACGCTGGCTTTGCGCACTCTACTGTAATGAAAATGTATTTGAAAGTTTCTTTTTTAAATGTAATCTCTACATAGTTGTATATATAAGTAAATATTTAGCCTAGAACAGGTCTTGTTTATTTGGCGGAGACACAGCTATGGTACAACTGGTGGCAGCAGCGATGAGATTTTAAAAGGCTCACTAGTCAAACGAAGAAGTGATGCTTGGATTCAACACAGTTGAGATGAATCATCCTGATTCAATGAAGTTTTGACACCACCCTCATGATTCTGTGCAGTTTAAAAATCAGCTCAAGTTCTGATGTTGATCTACATAAGTTGATGGTACCAAAATCATCCTGATTTTCACGTCGTATGAATCATCCTGATTCCAATTTCTTCGTTTGATCTAAGTGATATTTTAGAGAACCGCCATGGTTCTGCACAACGAGTTTTCTTCATCAAAATCATTCTGATTTTTGTGTTGTAATCATACCAATTCCAGTTTCTTCGGTTGATCTAATTGGTAATTTAGAGAACCGCCACAGTTCTCCACAATAAGTTTTCTTCATCAAAAATTATCCTGATTTTTAGGTTATAATGTTAAAGTTCCATGTTGTGAAGGAAGAGTCAGCACGTTCTACAGAAGTTGCATCACATAAACCGTGTGTGTGGGAATTAAGATGTATATTGGTGTTTTCTTCATCTAACAAGTCATCAAATGGGGTAAGTACCTTGATTTTTATATTAAGGCAGTGACTTATCCTAAGTAGTTAATTTTGTTAAAGGTTGATACATTGTCTTCCTTGCTATGCATTTTAGCTCGTATGTATGTGTATGTTATGGTGTTAGTTCATAATGATTTCTCACAGCAATTTGCATATTTGTTGAAATAATAAAGTAGAAATTCAGTAGCATGGAAAATACTAAAATTCTCTTAACTGTTGTTATTCGTTGGTCCTGTTTTAACAATTTTGAATGGAAAATCCAACAAAAATTAACTATGTTTGGAAGATAAGATTATTGACTTTATATGGTTTTTTTAATGTAAAAAAACACATCAGCACTACTGTAGTTGTGAAAACTGAGATTTACTAAATTAAGTGCAGTTGAAATTTATTCAATTGGATTATTACTGATGGTGGGTTTATTGTGTACTAATTGTTATTGAAGTTGTGATTGAATTACTTACTGTTTTTATTAGTATGTACTCAGGTAAAAACTTACTAAAACTTAATTCATTAATTCTGTAAATGTAGTCATAGTGTGTATTAGATTTTAATAATATTAGGAATTTCAAGTGTTTTGAATATTGTAGTACTGAGTAAACTGAATTCTTGTTATGTTAAGATTCAAATCATTTACGATGTTTGTAAAATCACTGTGCATTAATGGTTACTATTAATAATGATAATCTCAGTAGCATTGTATTTTTGATTAGTGTGTGATAATTCTAAGTAGAGAAATTGAGTGTGGCACAAAGCTGAAAGACTTTGGTTAAAATGGCTTTCTTGGAAAATGAATAAAAGATTGACTTATACAACCTAGCAATAGAATTAGGGAAGAGGCTACAATGAGTCTAAAGATGGTGGAGCTAAAATCTCTGATTCAAAAAAATGCAGCGTATGACGAAGAGTTTGTTAAGGGTGTTTTCGAGGGAATAGTAAATGACAGGTTGGAGGAGGAGAGACTTCGAGAAAAAGAGAGAGAGGATTGCTGGGCTAGGGAGATAAGACAATTTGAGTTAGAACGGCTAAGGATCGAGGCAATGGGTAGATCGTCGCCTGTGCTATCGGAAAATTCAAAGTCGAGTAATAAGCAGTTTCATCGTGAGATACAAAAAATTATTCAAAAATTTGATTCGGATAGTGGGAATATTAGTTTGTATCTAACAATGTTTGAGAGACAAGCGAAGAGGTTTAGTATCGAGGAGAGCGACTGGGTAGCTTATTTGTTAGCACTATTGCCCATGGAAATCATACAACTTATATCTAAAGAACCTGAAGAAAAGGCTTGTGATTAAATATATGTAAAGGCTTTGCTCTTAAAAAGATTCAAATTGAGCCCCGAAAAATTCTGTCTTAAATTCATTTAGCATCAACGAAAATCAGATGAAACTTGGATTTAAGTTTTGCTCTCAGAAATTATTTAGATGGATGGTTAAGCGGTCTGGAGATAAACGATTTCGAGAAACTAAAGGATTTGATGGTTACCGATCAAATGAAACATCAAGTTGGCAGCGAAGTCAAGGAGCATCTCTTGGACGACTGATTAAAAGTTACTTCGGCAGCTAAGTTGGCAGATGTGTTAGATAACTACGAAGATGTCAGAGGAATTCGAAAAAAATCAGCCCACCCTGGGTATCAAGACCAAAGGAAGAATGATAGGAATTTAACTGATCCTAAAGATAAAAAGTGGGATGACGAGAAAAAAAAAAAAATTTCGTCTCGGGCAGAACAAATGAAGACCAGCCGAAACAAAGCATTTGAAAAAAGAAAGGCTTCTAAGTATTTCAAATGCAGCTCAGAAAATCACCTTAGGCCCCAATGTCCAAAACTCATCAAGGATAAATCACCAGCCAAGGTAAACAACATATACCGATATAAAAGCGCAGAGGAATTGTTGTCTCCGTTTATCACAGACACATGAGTAAATGGTCATTCTATTAAAGTAAATTAGACCGGAGCTCTGGTGTCAGCTTAGAAGATCGGTTGGAACCTTGGCATGTAGATCAATTACAAGATTTACTAAAGAGATTTTCTTAGAATTTCTCCAAAGAGCCGGGAATAATGGAATTAGTAGTGCACAACATTGAATTAATAAGTGACAAACCAGTTAGATCTAGACCCTATAAAGTATCTCTAAGGCAAACGGAAATTTTGAAAATGGAGATTCAGAGGATGCTAGATTTGCGCGTAATCGAGCTAGGGGAATCGGACTACCCTTTGCCTATGATTCTAGTGGAGGCGCCCGGGAAGTGTATAGATTACCGCCGCCTAAATGAAGTAATACGCACTGAGTTCTTCCCCCTGCCAAATATAGAGGAAAGAGTGGAGCTTGTTTCTTCTGCGAGGTATGTAACTATTCTAGATTTGGCAAAAAGATGCTGGCAAATTCCTCTAAGTCCAGGGGGCCCAAAGATTGGCCGCTTTCATCATGACATTTGGGTTGAAAAACGCTCACTACTTTTTCAGTAAGTTGATGGCTGAGTTATTAAAAGGGTGTGAAGGCTTTGTTGTCCCGTATTTGGACGATGTAGCTATTTTTTTCCAATACTTGGGAAGATCATATGAAGCATTTAAATTGTGTTTTGGGAAAAATAACTGCGGCAAATTTGACCATTAAGTCGTCAAAATGTCGTTGTGCTCAAAACCATGTAACGTATCTGGGACAAATCATAGGACAGGGAATCAGACGACCAGCTGTGGCAAAAGTTAAAGCAGTTGCTGATTATCCCACTCCGAAAACAGAAACTGAAATAAGGGTGTTTTTAGGTTTGGCAGGTTATTACAGCAGGTATATTTCCATGTTTTTATTTATAGCTTCTTCACTCACGAATGCATTAGAGAGGAAAGTAAAGAAGGGGGAAATTCTTTGAACAAAGGAATGCGAAGATGCATTTATTCAGTTGAAGGAAAAATTAAAGAAGGAACCTGTGCTACACGCACCAGATTTTAATAGAGAATTTATGGTGCAAACTGATGCTTCCGATTTAGGGATGGGAGTAGTATTAACACAAATGGATGAGAACAACACCGAACATCCCATCTTGTACTTAAGAAGTTTTCAGTGATGGAAGCTAAGTACAGCACAACTGAAAAAGAATGCGCATGTATAGTTTTTGCTGTAAAAAACTGCATTATTATTTGGACGGTCCAAAATTTACTGTAATTACTGACCACAACCCCTTAGTTTGGTTAAAAACTAATGCAGGCTCTAATCCCAGGCTAATGCGGTGGGCTTTTAGCCCTGCAGCCGTATAATTTCCAAGTTATTCATTGAGCTGGGAAGAGTCATAAATATGCTGACAGTCTAAGCAGGTCTGCCACTTAAAAAAATATGCTTGTATTTATCTCTGAATTCTTTTGTGAATTTTATGTATTTGAATTGTGTCACTGGTCTTGATGTAATATTACGGTACTTCCATGTTATGTTTTCTTTTGCATGTGTGTAACTAACTCTTTATCTCAAATATACTTAAACACTTTGATGAGCAAAATGTTTCTTCGAAGGGGGAAGGAGCAGTAACGTTCCCCTTCTCTGAAGAACACTTGGTCGCCCACCCTAAAAGAAGGGACAGAGGACCCTTTTCTCGCCTCGGCTGGAAGAGGGGAGTGGACTTTCCCCCCTGGTTGCAGGTGGGGGAAAAGAGGAGATTGAGATGTGAAACAGAAAAGAGCGGACGCTGACTTTGCACGCTCTACTGTAATGAAAATGTATTTGAAAGTTTTTCTAAAATGTAATCTCTACATAGTTGTATATATAAGTAAATATTTAGCCTAGAACAGGTCTTGTTTATTTCGCGGAGATACAACTATGGTACATCCTCCTAAAGTTAAGGAACAGCTTGTTTTTTTGTGTCTAATTTGAGAATGAAGCAACATAGAATCAAGAAATTTACAGGACATGATCGCTAAACAGTTCCCCAATGAATGCAACACAGAACGTTTCTAAAGTTCAACACAAACATAAATTACAACAAAAACTTGCTTGCTTGGCAGAGGAATCCAGTCTTCGAGAAACAGTATATCACAGTTTTTTCAGGGAAAATGGGATGGTAACATTACAAAAATGGGTTCTTATAAAGAATATATCCACTTCTAGCTGCAATACATTGGCAGTAGTGACATTCTATGCTGTCGATTAACTTGTCGGTCAGTTAAATGGAAAGCAATGACTAGATTGAGCAGGCCATTCCTTCTGCTTCATACTGTGACCCTCAAGATATTCTTCAGCAACCTGAGCTCGGTGCGGTCTCGCATTGTCCTCCATCAGAAGAAATCCAGGACCAATAGCAGACTTACTGGTCAAGGATCTCATCTCGATATCTCACAACAGTCAAAGTTCATCCATGGAACACATGCAGGTCTTTGTGAGCACCAAGAGAGATCCTAACCCAAACCATTATTCCACAACCTCTGTAACTATGTATTTCCGCAATGTGGGATTGATTGTATCTGGTGCGTTGTTTCCTTCAGATCAGCTGACAACCTGAATCACTCTCCAATGGGAACCTGGACTCGTCTGTGAAGAGGACAGATGCCCATTGTTGACTGGTCTAGGAGACATGTTCTCTTCCCCAACATAAATGGATCAAGGGGACACAAACAACTGGCTGTCTTGCATAGAGACCTGTATTGTGCAGGCATGTATGCACTTTAGTAGCTGAGATTCCACTAAATGATCTCCAATGAGGCCTGAGGCACAGTAATGTTACTCCTCCTCTGGGCCGAAAGAGCAGTCTCCCTCAAGTGTTGTAACTCTAGGTCTGCCTGGAACATGTCTTCTAGACACAGAACTCAAACTGATTCTTCTGAAACTGAAGTATTCAAACTGATTCCATAATGAGTGGACCACACTAGGAGATAAAAATACTAAATATATTACTTTAATAATAAAAAAATTATGCAATATAATTACAGATATATTGTATTTAATTAATGTATTTATAATCATTATCTTACAGGCATATTAAATGTGTATTTCCATTTTTTTGTTTTTTACATTAACAGTTTTAATCTTTTTACGGATATATAGTATCTAATTAACCTATTTATGCCTAGTGCTCCATATACACTGGTGTGCAAAACTTAAGGATGAAGTCAAAAAATTAGCATATCAGCTGAACGAAGAGGCAGAGCGGACAGAAAGACCAATCAGGAGATTAAGTAAGGTGATGTACGGTAGCACATGCGCAGATATGCAGGTAGACGTAATAGGGGAGTTTCTGAGTAGTATAAAGCATGATGTCGGTGTAAGATCAGTATTTCTGGCAAAGAGATTGCACGCCGTATAGCAGTTAAAATCACACCGAGTTGCTGCCTCAGCGAGAAATGACGAATAATCAATCTGTTAGACGACATCTGGATGCTTTTCCCGAGGTCGAATCATTGGGAAGTTGGAAGAAGGCCGCAGAGTGACAAGTGTGGCTGCAGAGTTCGGAATTGCTCACAGCATCGTTTCACGACTTTGGAGACAATATCAAACTACAGGAACAGCTATCCGGGGGTTTAGTAACAGCTATCCGGGGGTTTAGTAGTGGTCGTCTACGAGGAACCACACCCGCAGATGACCGGTATATTGCCTAACAGGCCAGAAGGAACAGGCGGCAGACAGCGGGAGAAATCGCTAGACACACGACACAGGCGACTGGACGACCGATATCGCATTTTACCGTGGCCAGAAGACTGCACGGTGGTGATCTGTTTGCACAACGCCCTGTACGGTGTGTACCTCTAACGCCTGCCCATCGGAGAAGGCGTTCTCTGTGGTGCCGGGAACACTGGAATTGGAGAGACAATGAATGGGGACAAGTACTCTTTACAGATGAGAGCAGATTCAGTCTGAGTAGCGATTCTCATCGCATACTCATCTGGAGAGAGCGGGGAAACTGCAATCATCCCTCGAACATCATTGAAAGGGACAGGTATGGAGGTGGTGGTGTTCTCGTTTGGGGAGGCATCATGCTTGGTAGTCGTACAGACCTTCACATCTTCGATGCAAGTTCAGTCAACGGGACCCGTTATTGTAACGAGATTCTTCTTCCATATGTGTGTCTTTTTAGAGGCGCTGTGGGTCCGCAGTTCCTTTTCATGGACGACAATGCACCATGTCATCGCACAGTAGCTGCCAAACAGCTCTTAGAGAGTGAGGATATTGAACGTATGGATTGGCCGGCACGATCTCCGGATCTCAATCCCATCGAGCACGTATGGGATTTTCTAAGCAGACGCTTGGCAGCTGGTACCTTACCACCAGTGACGATTCCGGAGCTTCGATTGGTGCTGCAAGGCGAATGGGCAGCAATGCCTCAACAACTCATTGACACCCTCATTCTCAGCATGGGCAGACGCTGTGGAACCTGCCTAGCAGTCAGGGAAGATCATATCCCCTATTAAAGACCAAATGTTTCTTGCTGGACACCTATCACAGGGATGTTTCGGCTTTCAGTTGCATTGCGCTCCATGCTACTTTTTCAATAAAGCTTCTTTTTATCCCTCTGATTTCTCTTTTAGTAAGTGTTGCTTACATTACTCATGTCCTTACGTACTGGGGATCTTACGGTATTAAATGTGTTGATTTGGAAAGCTTTTGTACAAAGTTATATTGAAAAAAACCGTCTCGTCCTTAATTTTTGCACACCAGTGTATGTATTTATAAACATCCATTTAAATGCCCGCCACTTCAGTGAATCAGGAAAACGACTTCTGGATATTATCCACGAATTTGTAATAACAACTGAAAATCAACACTCATGAACAAAAATTGCAATTTTTCCATTTTTTCTCCAACTCCTATATAAGCATTCATTTCTATAAAATAAAAGTGATAGCTATTGTTTTCGCATATATTTTCTTAAACTTCATTATTGTCATGCATATGAACTGTGAATTTAAACGTGACTGACATTTTTGTAATGGTGAGCATTAAAAAACATGTTTCTTAACTTTTGGAGGGCAGTATATATCAATTTTAGGGAAGAAGTTTTCTTTTGAAGCTTTTAAATTTGAAGTGTGTGGGAGTTGTGCTTTGGGAATAGACATGAAATGTCAATACCAACATTTCATTTCTTTGTTCAGAAGTTCTGGAGATGTTAAATCGTTTTTATATGTTATACTCAATTCGTTTACAGCAAGAAAGAAGAAAAAACGATAAGTAGAGATGCTGTATACACATTTTTAAAACAAATTTCATTGTATTTACAGAAATATTTTACCTAAATTGTATTTAAAATTTTACATTTGATTACTCACTATCTTTCTACACCATAATTTCCATGGCAATAAATCTTTTTTTAAGTAGCAGAAAAGGTATTTTATCCCATTCCTCTTGAAAAGCTTTTTTAAAGTCCAAAAGTGCAAAAATCCGTGGATGATACATCAGGAGATTTAATATTGATATGAGTGAAGGATATGGCATTGATACACATTGCTTATTCCATTTTTCCAGGAAATTAACAGTGGATTTTAACATGAGGCTGTTTGCTTTATCTTCATGCAATTCTAGTGATTGAGGCCTTTGTGGTTAGAGAAGATATTTTTGAAAATTGGATATGAAATATGTTCCTGATAATGTGTAGAGTTGACCTTAACATTTTTCTGCACTCTGTTTAATTTTTACTTGTTATTATTATATCAAAAGCAATTGCAAATCCTTTTGAAAAACTTTCTTTAGATTCTTTGAGCCTAGTTCTGAGATTTTTTTCTTCTTTTTGATAATAATAAATGGATTTCTTTTTATTGCAGTCGTTTAAATATACCGAAAGTGTGACAACATTTTTCCATTTTTGTCTAAACTATTGTTTCTCATTGAGAACTCTGCAATGCATTCTGCTTTTGCTGATATGTCAAGGAGAAAGGCGATGCACATTATTTCTTCATGTTTTTACAATTCAAATTGGCTTTAATCTCTTTGTTTACAGTTGACACTGAGCATTTTAAGGATTATGCAACTGTCCTTTGACTTTAAAGATTTTCTTTTAACATTTGTACATTTGATTATTTCCTTGGATATGTACTTTGAACAATTTTTCTCCTTCAAACCAAATTTTGACAATATTGTGTATCGTTGCCTTAGATACCAAAAAATCATGGCTTTCGCAGCATTTTTTAATAACTAAATATGAATAACTTTCTTCAGAAAAAAATACAAACATAGCATTCCATCCATTGCTTCTTTAAACCTGCCATTTTGCATGAAAACAAAGTTTTTGAATAGCAGACACTAATTTACACTTTCAAAAATGTAGTTGCAGTAAAAAAAAAAAAAAAAAACTTTGCAAGCAGGCGATTTTTTTATATAGCAAAGCAAAATCATCTAAAAAATTTATGAATAGCCTCTATATAACATACCTCTATATAACATACAGTAAGGCAAAGCTGCAACCTTTTGTTTATTGTAGATTTTAACCAAGATTATTAATTTTGAGAGTGAACAGGTACAACAAGAAAAATTCTGCAGAGTTTCTTTTCGATGAAATACTCTGGTCATTAGCAATATTTGTCTCTTCTCTTGCCTTTTTTCAAATACTGTACCTAATGTTTATGATGTAGTAAGTATTTAAAAAATAGCTCATTTAGAATCCTTATGAGTTTTCACAAGTTTCTGACAATTTTCCTAAAATTATTATCACAAATGATGTAGTTATTGTTAAAAAGATAGATAATTTAGAAGCCTATTTAATATGCAAAATTTATGAGTTTCCGCAAATTGTGGATTCTTTGACATTCTGAATTTAGCTACTAGGTTTTTCTGCGCTACATAGTTTTAAGAACTTCAGAAAGTCTCTTTCATACACTTTTAAAAATATTTCACTATATTATAAAATATGAAACTATACTGTACTTTGTATTCCAAAGTATAAAACTATATTTATTTATTATAAAATGTAGAAAACTATAGTATGAGGCATTATCCCTTTGCAGCTCTATAAATTTGGAAACGTTGGTACATTATTAGCAAATTTTAATTTAGTCGTTCATTTATGCTCGTCTGCCCTTTGAAAAAAAAAAATTGTATTAAGAGATTTTGTCTAACTACACAACATAGAACCAAGAACTCTATATATGATAGCATCTCTAAATGGCTTAGTTAAATAAAACTAAGATTACTGCAAATGAAACAGACATTTAGAATACAATCGATAACTGCAAATAATTAATAAATGAGTAAATTTACCTTTAATTTAAATTATCAGTTTAAACAAATACACAATTGCACATTGTACAAGAACTTTTAATGACATGAAATGTTTCTTATTATAACAGTTGAAATTTCATAATATCTATAATTTTCAGATGAGGGGAAAAATTGCTTACTTGTTTCTAAACAAGAAATTCTTTCAGTTCTATTTGTAGAGACACCTTTGTTCTTAAAAGTGTAAAGAGTATGCAGCTACTTTTAGATGTTTACTGTATGTGTAATATGAAAAGAAGCTCTAAAATTAGGGAGAAAAGGGTGCAGTGTTAAGAGTACATATCGCCAAGAATTTAAAAGGAAATAATTATTATTTTAAAATTTTAGGGCATGAATCTAAAAACTATTGTTGTTGTTGCTGTCTTGTCCATATTACATGGAACAATGGTTGCCAGAGCCTACTCCGAAGAGAGAAGGTTCTGGGACTTCTATTTTCCTGTTGGAAAACCATCTGTCCGCTGCCCCAAGAGAGGGCGCTACCAGCTTTCTCCCTCTTCCTCTCTGGAGGAAAATTCGAACTGGTTACTCGGTTCGTGGCTGCCGTCGGTGAAGCACGCACTTACCTCTCTTTCCCTCCGTGATGTTATCGTAGCTGTAATATGACTTTCTTGATTTTACTCATGCGGACTTGCGAACTGAAAAATGCTCATCTTGTAACTACATGCAATGTGATTGTGTATAAGTGAATATATGTTAAAATATGTATCATCCTAGAATTAAATATAAATGTTAATATTACCGAGTCAGATTTTGTTAACATTCAATGTGCAATCAAAAATGGCATCCATTAACAACAGCCATAACATCATGCGTTTACGCATGGGCATAAAGTTTGTAGCTTTGAGGTCCGGATTATATAGATCATTCCAGATTATGGACGTCCGGATTACAGACTTCATACTGTACAGTGCAAATTGTTGTATGACGACAAGTTTTTGCAGTTGTTTGAAGTTTTCTTAAGCTAAAACAGATTAATGTGTACATAAGGTGAATAGCAGGAGAAAAAGAAGTAAGTGTCATTTTTATGGGTGTTTCTCCCATTAACAACTTTGTTTATTGGCTGCAATTTTATGTAATTCTTAGTCATTTTTAAAAATGGCTGTTACCTTTTGCATCCGAGATTGGTGTAAACTTGGTCGCAAATGATTGGTGGCTTTTCGGAAAGGTTGGACAAATAATCAGAAAGTAACAATATTTGCACATTAAAATCAAATCTAAATATTCTATAAGTACCCTTAAAACTACATTAGTTTGCATACTTTTCTTTGACTTATGCAGAGAAAATCTGAGCAGAAATGAATAACGTAACAAAGAGTTGTAAAAAATTCATCTTAGATATTTATAAGGTGTTATAGAATTTAAAGAAATAAATTAAATTTTTAAAAAAAATATTGCATTACTTTAAAAAATATTGTTTTCATTTTACCACAGTCAATCAAATGGGGATATTTTAAATAGGTATTTCTAGATAAATGGATGTAATACAATTAACACCAGCACAATTGACATTAATAATAAACACTCATATGAAAACTCACTTTTGTTTTAGTTTACCTTATATGTAATCATACTGAGTTTACTCTAATATAAATTCATGCTTTAAATTATTTACACTGTGTTATCAGTTATAATACCATTAATGTATTTTTTAATTGAGTGTTATTATTATAATTTATCAATGCGTAGTAGTTTAATTATTTGCTAGAATTTCTATATAGCTAGAAAGAAAATATGCATATAATCCATTAGAATGAATTTTTTTCAGCATGCGTCTGAAGGTTATGTTTAACCTACCCTACTCCTACTCTAAAGACTCGTTTGCATAATTCTGAGAAAGACACATGAAATTGATAGCTCCATTAATGTAAGCTGAATGTGGCTTTTCACTGGGAATTTGACCAAGCTGATGTAAACGGGAGAACTGAAAAACTTTTAATATATATGATTAAAAATTTGACCAGTCAAAGACTTCCAAGTATTTTGTTGATATTGCATGCTGAGAAACAAAAGACAAGATTCAATATAAAGTTTTAAATGTTACAAAAATGCTGCAAAATACTTTTTTGCGGGATGAAAAACAAGATTCTCCTTGTTATTGTAATTTCCTGCAAAAGTCGAGAGATTATATGTAAATTTAGCCTTTCAGTATTAGTGATGTTTATATATTAAGATATAAATTTATTCAGTGGTATGCGATGTCGTTTAATGTATATAATTATGTTAGGCAGAGAATGTGACTTTATCTTATGCATTATGTTTAATAAAAATGATAAAAAGATGTTGTAGTATATGAATTTAGGTATCTGATGCAAATGTTATTGAAATTCAAATTATTTTCAGTTTCAATTAAAATATTTATACAAATCTAAAAAATTTACATTTAATTAAATACAACAGTAGCAATATTTAAATGATATTCATTAGCCTTTCTTAAATATTGTTATTCAGCTGTTAATTTCTTTTTTTTATTTTTCTTCTTATTTTTACTCTATTTAGAAATCCATATCCTCTGTTTGCATCCAAATTCCTCTGTAATTTGACTAAATATCCTTAAACTGCATATTTATGTTGAAACTTCATAAATTTTACTCATAGTAGTGCAATATCTCACAGAGTTTTCTAATATATTTTGGTAAATTCTAATATATTTTGATAACTAAAAAATTGCAGCTTTCAATAGTTAATTAAAAGTATGTTTATACCAATTTGAATACCTTCTAACTTTAATTGTGAGCTTCAGATCAAATTTATTTAACCATCTGGTCAGCAAATAAACAGGAAAGTATATATGCCTGCATTTTAAATTTAGTCATCTGTTGATTCAAAAAGTTCTGCAATATGTGACTTTTTTATTTAAACGGAATGCAAAATGATGCTCCAGGAAAGCATGTAAAGCTATGAAATAAACTGAAAGTTGTTATTGAAGAAAAGTTGAGGTGTTGTATTGTTTTACATTGCATTCAATTTTTAAAATTTAAAAGAAATTATTATTCTAATACCTGTTTTAGACATTTTCTGTTCTGTTGTTGTAGTTACATATGCTCACTTGTCTGACATAGTCAGCCTAAGCCAACAAAATTCCTCGTGGTAAGGAGTGCAAGATTATGCCTGTCGTTGGCAACCTTAAAGGTGACTGTGCAATTTAGCTCAGTTCCCCCCCCCCAATTTTGCTATAGAACACTCAGGGGCATGGGTTCAAGAGTCTCCCACTCCTCTCCCTTTCCACCAAACCACATGAAAGGACTTTGGGCTCACTGCATATTTAGAGTACCACCATGCCACACTGACACTATACATTTACAAACATCCGTGCCTTCTCCGTTATTCGAACCTGGGCCCCTTGGCACAGCAGTCAGTGACGCTAACACTATACTGTTTGGGCGGCAGTCATTTTCTTAAAAGTATGGTTATATGCAGGTAAAATAGGAATATGCCTTGATTTTATTAGTTTGCAAGAAATGGCAGAGGTGATTTGCATAAAAAATATTGTGATAATCGCTGAAGTATCACAAAAAGAAAAATGCATTTTGGAGGTGTTAATGCAACGAGAATCGGTGAAACATTCATAAATTTGCAGACCTAGATTTGAATGTCTTCTATAAATTCAAACATTTCTAAACCATAATTGAAATATATATAGGGGGGATGATTTGGGCAATTTTCAGATAACTATCTGATGGCCATGCTCATGTCTGAACAGCACCAAGTTAATGGGTATGAGAGCAATGATATGAAGAGCTGCTGTTCCAGCCTAAGTTACTAAAGAAAAATTTTAAAAAAATGGGAGAATATTAAATGTTTGAATAATTATATGATTATTTTCTAGCTCTTCCTGCAAATTCGCTACCACATTGTAACCTTAGCAAAAAGTGCCATCTCTTACATGAAAATTTATCTCATTGTTTTTCTTCATTTTTTGTATTATGACTATGTTCTGATTATTGGGGACCAAATAAGTGGGAATGGAAACATGCAAAGGGCATCACTTGCTATTAAAATGATGTAAGATATTCTCCTCGTTATATCTGCTGTGTTTTGACACCATCCAAGGAAGAAAAAAATATCTCTAAAAGCCAGTGATCTGAAATGTGTTACTTACAAATTGACTGATTTTCTGTTAAAAGAATTGTTCATACCTTGCAGCGTTTTAGTAACTTGAATTATTGCATATTAAATGGACACCTCAAAATCTGAGGAAGACTTAACATGGTTGACATTTAATACTACTTCTGTACACTTCCAAGTATTACAACACTCAGGATAAATTGGGATTTTTATAATGTACAAAGAAGTACTTGGAGCTTTGGTATATCCAGTATGGACAGTAACAATGGAGTTTTTTATTATATTATAATGGATAATCCTATATCACTGTAGATATCATTTGCATACATATAATCCCTTTTGAATATCACAATCATATGTGTTTAATCCCCAGTGTAACTAAACATGTGTACCTTTATACTATTTTCCCATACAAACAATTTCTTACATAAATCACATTCACATATATCCTCAGTTGTGTCCATAATTTTGTGCATGTTTAAATCACTTCTGATTGCAAATGATTTATTACAAATATAACATTTATTCATTTTCTCACCAGACTGGATGAGCACATGTTTCAATAAATAACCTTTCTGAACAACAGAAAACAAATCAATAACTCGCTTTTCTGAAAAAAGACAAGACGTATTGTTTTCAGATAGTTTGTCACCAGTATGATTAAACTTATACTATTTGTTTGAGGCACTTTTAAATCTGAACCTCATGCTGGGAATTCATAATGTTTCTCATTAGCATGCGAAAACATGGCTCTTTATTTATGCATGCAAAAGAGCAGCTACAGTTGTGGTTTCTTACCCGTGTGTGCAAACATTTGTGTATATAAATCACCCTTGCATGCAAATGATTTACTATTCATATGATATACATTCATATGATTTTTGATGAGACTAAATTAGTATGTGTGTTGCTAAATAAATTGAGTTAAAATGATGTGTTACGTTAAGGGCATGCATATGGGGCAGTAAAACCTATATTATATATTATTCATATAAAATCTATTAACATCTTTAAAATACTGAAAACTTTTTGTATATATTCCCTTTATTGTGCATTAACCAATAATACAAATATATTAATGTAAGGCTCACATTTGTGTTTTGTACTGCGAGAGCCTAAGAAAAATGATATTTATTTGAATATGTGTAGAAAAAGTAGTTTGGCATTCCTTTATTGAGAAAAACAAAATAATGCTGTCTCTTCATATAGTGTTCATTTGGTTTTAACAAACAAATTATGATTTTACTTAAGATCTTATCTGCATTAATATTTCAGACTTTAAAATCCCTTATATAGCGCGGATGATATCTTTTATATTAAAAGAAAAGTTGGAAAATATCTAAACAGTACACCGAATCGCCATTTCGTTGTCAACCGTTTCCGATGTACTTGATTAAAAACACTTCTGATGAGTTTGGCTACAAATATTTATGAAGTTTTCATCTGCGCCTTGCCCTTATAATATTGTTTTAATAATAACAAAATAGTATTTTATTTTTAAAATTTTTTAAAGTAACGTTTCGTTGATAAATAATACTTGCTAAGGAAGTCGTCAAACAAAATTACCTTTTCTCGCCAAGAGCAACTGTGAACAAATAAAATTTCAACAGACATATATACAGTCAAAAGTCTTTAATCCGGACCCGTCAGGACTTCGGCGATTCCGGATTATAGATCATCAATTTAGATCTGGTAAGATGGCATGCAGAAATTATAAAATTTAAAATATGAAATCGTAATTTATGAAATAAAGAGCAATTATGATCTAAAGGGTATCAAAATTTACCAAAAAAAAAGGCTTAATATTTATTTATTTACTTCATTAAACATTTCTTTCAATGTGCTCGTGCGTAAAGCATACATTACGCATAGTCAAAATTAGAAAATTGCAACCAGAAAACTATTTGATGTGTATTCGTGATATTTATAATGACAAGGAAATTGATTTAAATCATATCGAGTACATCGAGATGAAACACTACATTTAGTAAGGAATTATAAGCGGAATAAAATAAAAATATCTGCCCTAAAGATGAGGATAGTGCTGACAGATCAACTTCCAGTTCATTGCACGCCGCGACGCCCCCACCCCCGCAGAGCAGCGTGAAATTGATAAACAGATTTCGGAATGGTTAGGGAAACAAATCACCTCTCTGTCACTTTCTTCATGCCTTTCTCCATTTTTTCAGCAAATCCACTTTTTGTTTGTTGGGCATCAAAACATTTTTGCGCTTTGTAGATCCTTTGGCAGCTCCAGAGTCGGAAATTCTTTTTGACATAATGGAAAGTTCAAGCTTACTTTTATAAAATAGCTCTAACAGTCTGCAAAAAGTAATAAGCCGCATCCATTTCGAAGATTAAGGAACAACGCAATCTGCAACATTAACTGAATTAGATAATTTTGGCCTAGCTTATGCCGTCCGCTAATGCGTTTACGCATGCGCAGAAAATTTGTAACTTTGAGGTCCGGATTATAGATCATTCTGAATTATGGACGTCCGGATTAAAGACTTTTGACTGTATACCATTTTGATTTGATTAGAGGCGCAACCGCTTCATTTAATGATCGAACAGTTGAAAACGGAATTACGTTTCGGATAACTTTATCGCAGTGAAAGTAAAAATAATTTAACTTCGCTCATTGTGGAGGATAATACCATCAGAGGTGAAGATGCAGCTTGAGATGAATTACTTGCTTTTCGTATGCAATCTCTAAATAATATTGAGAATAATCCCAAAGAAACACTGCCTGCTGAAACCGAATTATTGAAGCCAATTTGAATAACTAACAACACAAGCAGAACTTTTAAGTAATCGCTCTCATCTATTAAACCCCCCCCCCCCCCCCCCCCCGCCGCCTTCTCAAATACATTCAAATATTGCAATGCTCAATACATTAAGACACAATAATTGTTATTAGTTGGACAAATATGTTCCCTAAGTGTTCTTTAAATTACATCCACCAATGGTACCACGAATTTTAAGAAAAATGCCTTCGCCTAGATCAGGAAGGCTGAAAGAATTTCCAAATTGGCTTATTGCTTAGACGAACTAATGCTATTTCTCACCTCGACGTATCCGAAAAAAATTGGCAGTTGACAGCAGGCAAAAATTACACTCATGTCCATAAATTAAGGATAATTCGGAGTCACGCGGAAATCGAATTCTAAAATAAATATATGTAAAATCACTACACACATCTTCAAAAATCATGCAAATTTCAGGAAGTAACCAGATGACATTGATGGTACGTCACAATGACGAGAGTGATATATAAGGAATACAGGCAAAGAAGTAAAATTGTTCGCAGGCGCTTTATAAGCATTTCAGTGCAATAACCGAATAGTTATGACACAAAGGACGCATTTGGATGATTTTTTACGTGGTAGAATTATCGGCCGTCTGGAATGTGGGCGTACCCAACTGGAAGTATCAGACGCACTTGGAATTGCCCAGAGTGTCATCTCCAGGCTTTGGCAATTATTCCAATATGATGGTAATGTGAGTAGACGTTACAGCACAGGTCGCCTCAGAGTTACGATGCCGAATGAGGACCGGTATTTGGCAGTTACCGCCAAAACAAACAGGCGGAGCACAGCCTCAGACCTGTCTCTTCAGCCACTGGTACGACAATTTCAAGGCAGACCGTGTACAGACGCTTAGGGCAGATTGGTCTATATGCTCGTAGACCTGTCAGATCCGTTCCACTTACTGCAACTCACTGTCGCCTGCGGTTAGCCTGGAGTAGAGAGCATGCATTGTGGACACCGCAACAGTGGGCTTGTGTGATGATTTCCGACGAGTCCAGGTTTAGCTTGCAGTCTGATTCTCGCCGGACTTTCATATGGAGAGCTCCAGGTACCCG